CTCTGTAAAAAAATCAACAAAATATATATTTTTTAAAATAATAAAAATAAAAAAGAAACAATGAAGGTGAAGAACAGAGTTGGAGGACTGACGCCATCAACTATAAGACTGACTGTAAAGCTACAGCGATCAGGACAGCGTGGTCACTGTGAAAGAACAGACACAGCCCAACAGAGCCCAGAAACAGACCCACAGACAGGGCCAGCTGATCTCACCAAAGGAGCAGACAGCTCAAGGAGAAAGCACAGTCTCCTCAGCAAATGGTGTTGGAACCGCCGGGCATCCACAGGCCAACAATGAGTCTGCACGCAGCGTTAACCCGAATGGACCACAGGCCTAAACGTAAAACGCACACGTGTGACCCTCCTAGAGCGCAACGCAGGAGGACCGAGAGGACCTTGGCTTGGAGGTGACTTCTACGACAGAGGCACGGCCATGAAGGAGAACAGTGATGAGCTGAACGCAATTAAAACTAAACCCTCTGCTCTACAAAACAATATCGAGAGAATGAGAAGACAAGCCACGAGAGGAGTGTCTGCAAAAGACACACCTGAAACAGGACCGTTTCCCAAAAGATACGAAGAATTCTAAACCCAGAAAGAAAACAAACAACCCGATGGAAAATGGGCCAAGACCTTCCCAGACCCCTCACCAAGTAGCTACACAGATGACCGGCAAGCAAATGGCAAGATGCTCCGCATCCTAGCCCTCGGGGAAGGGAAGTTAAACAAGGAGAGTCCACTGACACCCGGCGCGCCAAACCCAGAGCACTGACGCCGCCCAGTGCTGGCGAGGACGGGGCGGCGCGGACCCCTTCACTGCGGTGGGAATGCAGCCGTGCGGCCGCCCTGGAAGGCAGCTCGGTGGCCTCACACACTGCACAGCCTCTGGGACCCAGCAGTCACGCTCCCTGGTGTTTGCCCAGAGGAGCTGAAAGCCGGTGTCCACACAGACCTGCACAGACGTTTACGGCAGCTTTGTTCCTGACAGAACGGGAAGCAGCCCCGACGTCCCTCGCCAGGTGGGTGGATGAATCTCCGCGGTCCAGCCAGCCAGGGGGGTGGCATTCAGCTCCGAATAAAATAAGCGTCAGGCCATGAAGAGACACAGAAGAGCCTGAAGTGCACGACTAAGTGACAGAAACCAACTGAAAAGCCTACAGACTGTGTGACCAGCTGTGCGACATCTGGAGAAGGCAGCTGTGGAGACGGTACAGACCATGGGCCAGGGGCTGGGGAAGGACGGAGAGGGGGCAGAGGGTTTTAGGGCCGTGAAACTTCTCTGTGTGGTACTACAGAGAATGGTGGGCACATGTCATTACACGTTGTCCAGCCCCACAGAACAGAACATACGGCCCCAGTGCACACCGTGGCTCTGGGTGATGATGCCAATGCAGGGGCCCTGACTGTCACAAACGCCCGCCGGGTGGGCTGTGAGCAGGGCGAGGAGCTACAGGGAACTCTGCACGTTCCTCTCAATTTTGCTGTGAACCTAAAACCACTCTAAATAAAGGGCAATTGTAGTTCACCTTTCTGAGAAACCCCAAGTCGAGCTGACCAAATAAACAGAAACAGTTAATGAGCTTGATCCAACAGATAAACAGACACATGCTCAGCCAGGCGGGAGCGCACAGGCGTCTACAGGAGCTGTGTGGCTCCTGGGAGCCCAGGGCGGGGCTCGGGGGCCCTGCCCTTTAGTCTGACAGCTGATGTGGCTGAGGGTGTGGAAACTGGGAACCAGGTAGAAGGCGGCCGACTGAACCCAATGACTGCCCCCTGCTGGCCGGGGGCTGCAGACGAGGGTACAGGTGGGTGAGCTCTTAAGGCGAGGGCTGGGTGTGGAGCACCTACTCTTTTCCAGCCCTGCACCTGGCTGGGAGATGTCACCCCTCTGAGACAGGAAAACAGGGAAGCAGGCATGGCCACAGGGCTGCAGAGGCTGAAAGACATTTGAGAGTGGGAACCCAGAGGCTAAGGCTGGAGCCATGGAGAGGAGGCCAAGCCCAGTGCCCCTGCTCCCACTCAAGGAGCCCTGGCACCTGGCACTCATTGGTGAGCACCGACTGTGTCCATAGCTCCAACGTCCCTGGGGATGAGCCTGCTGACAGGCCTGCAGCAGCGGAGGAGAGGCCGTCTGTCCTGGTGGCTAAGGGAAGGCTGCACCTGCGCCCTCACCCTCTTCCGTACGCCCCCAGAGCTCAGTGAGCTGGAGTTTGAGGGTGTTCTACAAACCAATGGAAGTTAGGAGTCAAGTTGTGGGGGGATGCCTTTCCCACCACTGGCAGCCCGGTCTCCTGGCCTTCAAGCCCCCACCCTCTACCCTCGTCCTCCCTCCCCAGGGCTCACCTGGATACTTCTCTTCATTGCTGTCCAGCCCCGGGCTGCAGGGACCAGCGCATACCTGGGGCCACACCCCGGCACTGGGCCTTGGAAAGAGAAAATGTCCCCCTTGGAGTCAGGTCCTGATTGCCTCGGCCCAGGTGCGGGGTGCAGCGAGTCCCCACTGGGCACCCGCCCTCTGAGCAAGCGGTGCTGCTCTGAGCTTGTCGCGACACAGCGAGGAAGAAGCTAACGGTACCGAGCCCGCACAGCTCTGGGCTGCCACCACGCACCCACCACTCTGGCCAGCCTCCGAGACCCACTGTGACCATTCCCCTCCCGCACCTTCGGCTCACTCCACCTTCCTGCCCCAGGACACCCCCACTCCCCACACTTCTTGTTGGGCGGTCCATAGGCTCTGTGGGGTTTCTCTCTGAAGCATCGTTAGCAGGGGGTCCGGCAATGTGGAGGGCAGAAGAACAGACTCAGACGGACCCACATCTTCTGCAGCCATTTGCCAAACGGTCAAGACCCTGTCACCGGCAGCAGCTCCCGTGGTCTGGCCTCCAGGTTCTCAGCACCAACCAGAAAGGTCCCTCTGCGAGCCCGGGGACCGCCCTCTGCCCGCGCCTGCAGCCGTGTCCGCCTGGCACCCAGCACCTGGAGGCTTTGGAGGGCTCTCAGCACGGCGCGCTCCGGGTCAGATGTGACCACCTAGACCTGTGCGCACAGTGCACGCGCCACAGCACGGCCACCGCCTCGGGAGGAGGGCCCCTGCCTCCAGGCAAGTCAGAGGGAGGGCAGCATGGCACCATCGTCAGACAGACACAAAGTACGAAACATGTTTTTATTTTAGATCAAAGTACCGAGCAGATCCTTGCAAAACAACATACAAAGTAGGACTCAGATGCTTGTCCCCCAAGCTGCCCCTGAGCACCAGTGAGAAAAACCAAGCCTCCCGGTAGCTTTCCCCAACCAGAGCACAGGCCAGGATGCCCCCCCAGGCGGGGGGGGGGGGCGGGTGTGGCGACCCCTCCCCAGCAGCTAGGGCCCCTGGAGGATGGTGGCTCCCTCCCAGCACCCTTGCGGCTGGGCGTGAACCTGAGCTGCCGCTTTGTGTGTATGGCTCTGAAGTGAACTCTCCCGGCCTGGCCTGAGACCAGCGAAGGGGCTGGAGGGAGGAAGGGGTGTGGGTGACTTTGACAAAGGCTCCACGGGCCTGATGAGGCTTTCTCAGTAAACGGAGCTGATGCAGACAGGGATGCTGGGCCTGCCCACGCTGCCTACCTAACAGGACTCAATCAAGATGCACTTAGGAAAAACTGCAGATACAAACAAGGAAGTAAACATGAGGAAATCAGCAGACCCTTGAAAAGTGCCAACAAAACAGTCTAAACAAAGACAGCCTCAGGAGCTCCTCAACGGGAGAGGCCACTGAGGTAGGGTCTGGGGCACTGAATGGATGGACGGACAGATGGAGCCCAGTCCCTTCAAAACATGAGCGGGGCCTCTCCATGATGGAACCCCAGAAAAGCATCCTCAGCAAGTCCCTGATGCTCGAGGGGCTCAGGCCATCCTTGGGGACCTGCGCACGGCCCTGTCCGTCCACCTGATAACTCCAAAGTCAGACCTGGGAGGGCCATGGACAGCCCTCCAGTGAGCACCTGGACATCCATCTTGAACCTGCGCTGGCCCTGGCTGTGCCCAATGGCGGTTTCCCCTCATGCCCCAGAGCAACAGGCACAGCACCTCCAGGCGGGGGTCTCAGGGCTGAGGTCATGGTGGCCCATCAGCATGTTGAATACAAGGCAACTGGAAGGTGCACCCCACCCTCCCGTTTTGCTCTGTTTATGCCTTCACCCCCAGGACCAAGTGGCAGGACCTGCAGCCCTCGGTCACCTTCACGCAGGCAGGCCCTACAGCCATCTGTACACACTCTGGAATCCAGAGCAGATTCCGAAGCCTAGGCACTCGGCATGGTTTGGGTTGAAAAAGCTATAAATCAGACCCACTAAACAGTTCACAGGAACACGCAGGGTGTGCGGGGCAGCCCTGAGCGCCAAGCATCTGCAGGCGGGCGGGCAGGGGCAGGGAAGCTCGTGCTGCTGGGCCCTGACCCCTCTGCTCAAGCAGTGGCCCCCAAGTCTGCACCCTAGACCCCAGGAGCTGGAGCCCCCAGACCTGAGCCCTGTGTCGACCTGACACACCGCCACACCTATTCTGGAGACGGGAGAGCAGAGTGCCCACCGCACTAAACCTACAGAAAACTGTGGGAAGATATCAAATCCATAGGATCCATGGCTTTCCACCCTTGGGGACGGTCCCCAAGGCCTGTGCTAGTGGTGTGCCCAGCCGTGCAGCACAGCAGGTCCACCCTCAGTGCTGCCTGCTGTTCCGGCTGCAGCGAGGCCTGCACGTCCTCTCGTCTGGCTCCTGGTTGGGCCTAACGTGTAAACAGTATTAATAAGCAAAAGATGGAAAAATATATTTCCCAAGAAAATGGGGAAGTGCAGAACTCAAAGCCCAGCGGACGTCACAGGTTGCTGTCACCTTCTGCCCTTTTCTCCTCTCGATCCGTTTTGATGTTTCCTCTCTTTGGTTCAGCAGCCCCACGTGACACACTGGGGCCTGAGGAGAGGGGCCAGTCCCGTGCCCACCAGAGGCCTCGCCCTCTACCAGTGACTACTTGGGCTCGTGGCCCTCAGCCATGGCGGCCACCTCGATGGTGGCTGTGTGCTCCTCAGGCCCTGGGGCAGCCATGGTGCCCTCCACGGCACCTGTGGGCACTGTCACAATGGTGCTGCCCCCGGGCGACACCTGGGCCACGTTCTGCAGGGCGGGGCCCAGGCCCGGCAGGGTGAGCAGCTGCAGGGGGCTGACCACCTTGACCACAGTGCTGCCGTCCTGCATGGCGGCCGTGCTCAGGACCGTGAGGCTGGATGCGTCCGGGTGGATCTCCACCGTGCCAGGGAAGGAGGTGCCTGACGAGGCCAGCACTGTGTAGCCCCCAAGCAGTGGCGAGGCAGGAGAGCTGGCAGGAGCCGCCTGGGGGCAGCCCTTGCCCAGCACAGGAGAAGGTAGCGTAGACATCACTTTGCCGATCGGCATGCTAGTCAGCTGGGAGACGGGCACCCCGGGGCTGAGGGCAATCTGGGCAGACTGGGTGAGTACTTGCGAGGTGATGGCAGCAGGCCCGGATGTGGCCCTTGCAAGACGGGGCCGTTTTATGGGGGGTGGCAGGGATACGGGCGTTAACGTCATGAGCACGTTGCTGAGGTGCTGGGACTTGTGCTTCAGTTCCTTGGCCCGTCGGCGGTGCTCGTCACACTGCTGCTCCAGGGCTGCAGGGACAGGACAGAGCGTCACTGCGGGGACAGGCACCACCGTCAGGGACAGGGAGTGTCAGACCACACACACCCTGCCCCTCCGAGCTGCCACAGTTCCAGTCCACCTACATTGTGCATGGACAGCTGCTCTCGTGATATTAGGTATAAACTAGGTCAAAGCAGCACCTGTAGCCAGCCAGCTCAACGTACACATCTGCCCACCCACACATGCATCCATTCAACGCATGCGCCCACACCCACACATCCAGACACCGAAGGGTGCTAGGGAAGATGGGCACAGCTGGTACAAACTGGACTCAGGGTCACGGTCTGTCTTTTCACATCTCTGCCATCTCCTATTGTGAACATCCATGCAGTGAGTCACCAGCTCCACGGTTTGAGCCTCAATGCCCCTGCTGACAACGCCAAGTGCCCTCTTATCCTCTCGGACTTCAGGCCCCACACCAGGGATGTAGGCATCCACGCACCGGCCAGGTCACGGGCATACTGCTCCCGAGAGCGGTCCATCTGGCACTTGTGGCTGGCCAGCACCTTCTTCACCAGGTCCAGCATGCCGAAGTTCTGCACAATGTTGTTGAGCAGCACGGCGTCTGAGGGTGAGAGGGTGCAGTGAGGACGGCCAGGCGACAGGACACAGTGGAGGCCCCTTCCACCACCAGAAGCTGGACCTCAGCAGGCACAATCCTGAGTCAAGGATGGGCCTGGAGGAGGACTAGCTGCCTACCTGCTGCAGAAGCTTCTGGGCTCAGCTCAGAGATGCCAGGAGCAGGTTACACCCACTACAGCCTGAGCCAGCCAGCCAGCCCTGCTCTGCGGGAAGGGCCCCGCGGGCAGCGCCCTCACCTTGGAGCTGCAGAGGGGGGTCCTGCACCCGCTGCTGCAGGCCTTTCATGGTCTCCACCATCTCCTGGTGGAACTCCTGTATGACCTCCTCCAGCAGGCCTGCATCCTTGAGCCCTCGCCAGAAGGCAAATGTGTCATCTGCGCGGGAAGGAGAGGCTCAAACAGCGGGAAGTCCTGCCCCAGCCCATGGGAGGACACAGCTCTGGAGTCAGCAGTGTTCCCATGGGCTAGGGCAATAGCTCAGAGCTGTCAGGCCAGTGGGTCAGCCCAGCAGGGGACACAGTCTCCAAACATGCATGCTGTCCACAGAACAGCTCCCTGTTCTGTCCCGTCCTTCATGGGGCCCGCCCCAGGCCCCACCCAGAAGCCTACAAGAAGGACCCTGTACCTCCAATGGTCGTGGTCCAGTCACCGGAGTCCTCGCAGGTTTCTATGGTGATGGTAGCAGGAGACCCATTCACTGCAACCAGGACAGAAGCAGATGAGCCCACCTGCCTGGCTGCAAAGCGGCCTTCATGCCGACTCACAAAGCGGACAAACACATCCCCTGGTGCAGAGCCCCACTGCCTCACACTTGAACTGTACTTTTCACTGTCTAATCACAGGCTCCTCAGACACAGACAGAGCAGAAAGAGCCGATAGGACCTCGCAAGCCCACAACCCACTCCAATCCCTCAACACTAGTTCCAAGGGTCAGCGAGCCTGGGCTGCACAGCGGGATCCTGCAACTTGCTCAGCTGGGTCAGTGCCCTGATTCCTCCCCTCCCGTCTGCTTCACTGACCCCAACACGTATCTCAGTGTCTCTCCATGTGCAGTTTCCAGCCAAAAGAGGTGAAGTTCTGGGAGACACGAGCTGCCACGACCTCGAGGGCCTGCTGCACACTAACATGAAAAAGGGGCAGCTGGCCATTGGTTGCTGCTTCTGATAAAGACCTGGCTTCACAGACACCTGGCTTAAAACAAGCTGGCGGCTGGCTTGTTCGCACTAGCTTCTCAACCTGCCACATCCACACCCAGCACAGACATGGTGCTGGGAATGCCACACGTGTGGAGCAAACCTATTCCTCGGTCAGGCAGACAGGTCCCTGAGCTGCACAGGAGATTCAGGCTGAGGGAGCCATTGCATGGGTTAAGTTTAAGTAAAGCAACAGACAGCCCCATCTGGACCATGAAGAGATGAGAGTTCAAAGAGCTGAAGCCTGATCGGATGCGCCTGTGCCAACACGAGACTGGTCCTTCCTCAGAGATCAGTCACCCATGCTGACAGGAGTGGGACATATGTTGGGTGTGTCCCCTGGGGATTGGGGGAAGATCTCTGTGGTGGCCCAGCCCCTCCACACTGCTTGGCGGCAGCACCTGGTACTCACATAGACCATCAGCAGCTCAGCCAGGACTTGGGGTGTGTTTGGATGATGACAGCACCTCACGGCCGCCCAGCCTCCCTCTCCTCCCTCCAGTACAGGCCACGCTTCCTCAAATATCCACCATCCGGTCAGCAAAAGGACAGTCCCTGGCCACATGCAGTGCCCAGAATGACCCCATGCAGTGATAGAGACAATGCAAGTGACATCGTTGGAAACACCCACAAAATTATCACCAGGCTATCCGAAGGGGGAGGTCAGGACCTGGTTCCACTCTTAGATTTCAAAATCTATATTCACAAAGTTGAAATGCATTCAGGGTTATTTTGTACCTCTACGCGTGAGCGCCACAGACATCAGCATGAGTGCGTCACAAAGGCGCCAGAGCCGGGCCAAGAAGGCACACACAGCCGAGCGCCAAGTGCTGCAGGAGTGCAGGCCCCCTGGGTGCAGCGCAGGGGCAGCTGGGGGGGCGAGGAGCACCCTGCAGGTCCGAGCTGCAGGTGGGCCCTGGACATTGGCTTCATCACTCTGTATGTGCCCCTACGTAGGAGCTTCTATGTTTTCTAACAAAAATGGCTTAGAAAGAAAAAGTGCTTGAATCATCCCTGCCAATGAAATATCAGTTCAGACTTCTGCAGTGAGGGAGGAGGTGGCCACTGACCACCGGGCCCAGGACCCCAGTCGCCCAAGCTCAGGGGCACATCTGCTCATCCAGCTCCATGGCCAGCAGCAGAGGGGCTGAGTGACACCGAGCAAGCGTGGCACATACCATCAGCTGTGGCGGGTGTGAGCGGGAGGTACTCGGCCGATGTGGGGCTACTCAAGGACACGCGGGCTCCCGAGAGGTCGATCTTGGTGCTGCGGCAGGTGTTGGAACAGACCTTGTCGTGCTGGTAGAAGTCCAGCTCCCCGGAGTCCATGATCTTCCTGTGCAGGAGACAAGCTCCCCATGTGTGCCCGCGCCATGGCCAGGCCATCTGCGCAAATGAATGGACCCAAACATATCGCTCAACCCCTCACTAGGGCGACCTCAGGTACCAGGCCACATCGGGAGGCCAAAGGAGGCTCCCTAACAGGCCTGACCAATTGCTTAGCACAAAGCTCCGGGTCCATGAGTGGACTCACTGCAGCCAGGCATGTGACCCTGCCCAGTGCTGGTGCCCTGGGGGAACAGTGAGGCCGCAGGAGAGCAGACCCACGGTGCACAAAGGTGCTTTCAGTGGCAGGTAGGCGAGTAAGAACCTGCCAGGAGGAGCCTCATGCCTCTGAGTTGCCGCTGCAAAGTCGAGCTGTCAGATGCACCACAGGGCCTCCTGCCTCACTTTCTGTGGCCACCATGTTTGCAACGGCCTTCCTTCAGTGAAATGGGCCATGGCCTTCCCACAGCTCTGACACCCAAACACTTTACAGAAAACCAGGGACACCTGGATGGGCTTAGGGAGAACCGTGAGCACCATGGGCCTGCCTGCTCGAGGGAAGGAGACATGACGGCCACTGGGTCCCTGGCCTTGAATATCTGCCTCTCTAAGGCCAGACTGCAGTTCACAAGGAGTGACCAGGGCCATGGTCAGGGCTCCACGTGAGGGCCACAGGCACTCCTACAGCACCGTGTGTGGCTAAGGACAGCAAGAACCATCCTCTGGGGAACAGGCATGAAGGACAGAAGTCCCATCAGCAACAAAGTAACCCAATCTAGCTACGCCAGACACGGAGACTCATCTCTGGACGGACATGCTGCACGGGCCGTGGGGCTTGGAGGCAGAGGGCAGGAACAGACCAGCAGGGATGCTCCGCCCAATCAGGGACAAGTTGTGACACCAAAACAGGAACTACTGATGCGTGAGAAACGGGGGGGCAATATTCCTGAGGCTGTGATTGTGAAGGCTCGAGTCAGAAGAGATCAGAAGGCCATCTGCCACAGGCCCCACCCCGGGTAACCCGTGGAGCAAACACGGGCGAGAACCTGTGCATGCAGAAGAGAGCCTGTGCCAGGCTGCCATGGCCTCAGGGTTTCAGATTGTCTGCCAGTGTGGAGAGCCGGGAGCTGCCAGGGGCTCACACTCCTAATTAGTGCCCAAGGAAAGGGAGTCTCTGAGGACAGAGGGCACTTCTTACCAAGGCAGGCGCAGCCCAGCACACCCGCTCCTCACACAGGGCAGCCATGGTCCAGACTGAGACCCTCTGCAAACTCGCAGGCACCAAGAGCCAAACAGACTGACCCGCAGCCGCCAAGCACAGACACAGTCTGGACAGGCAGCCCCAGAGCCAGAGGACAGTGTATACACGACTGGCCAAGGAACACGTACTCCCAGGTCTGAGGGCACCACCCACCCTGACCTGGTACTCTGCATGCGCAGCGGGAAGCTGCCTAAGAGATGAGCCAGGGCTGATCGGATGTCAGACGCTATCACACCCACGGGGCTTCCAGGTAAGAAGCGAGGAGCTCCGGACGAGACGACAAGACCACAGGAGGCCCACCTGAGCATGATGCCGTTCATCCGGATGGCCCTCTTCCAGTCCTTCAGGGTGGACTTGCCAGCCAGATGCACAAACTCCTTAGGGCTGATGACATGTTCATCATACTGTAGAGGGAACACAGCAGAGCCGTCAGGATGGCTCCTCCCACCACCCACAGTCCCGTCTGACCTTTCCAGAGCATAGCATGGCCTAGGGAAGGGATGCAGATTGGAGGCAGAGCATTGGTACGGAGGAGCCACTCAAATCAGCCAGTAGCAACCCTGGCATAGAAAAAGAACAACTCAGGTGAAAAAGGTGTGGCCCTCCTGCCTGCACAGCAGGCCTGGCTTCCTGCTGTCTGCCCCCAGCAAGTGAGTGGCACTCTCTCACTCTAGATAGGACCCAGTGCATCTCACACATAAATTATTCCATAACTAACTTATACCTCTATTATGTCAAAACTAGATGCCCGGTGCACGAAATTCGTGCGTGGGGAGGTGTCCCTCAGCTCATCTGGGACCCCTCGAGGGCAATCGGACATCCCTCTCACAATCCAAGACTGCTGGCTCCCAACTGCTCACCTGCCTGCTTTCCTGATTGCCCCTAACCACTTCTACCTGCCAGCCTGATCCACCCCCTAACCATCCCATGCCAGCCTGTTTGCTTCCAATTTCCCTCCTCTGCCGGCCTGGTCACCCCTAACTGCCCTCACCTTCAGGGTTAATCGCCCCCAACTGCCCTCCCTTGCAGGCCTGGTCCCGCCCAACTGCCTTCTCCTGCTGGCCTGATTGCCCACAACTGCCCTCCTTTGCAGGCCTGGTCCCTCCCAACTGCCCGCCCCTACTGGCCATCTTGTGTCCTCATGGGGGCAGCCATCTTGTGTTGGAGTGATGGTCAACCTGCATATTACTCTTTTATTATAATAGATAGGATAGAGGCCTGGTATATGGGTGGGGGCCAGCTGGTTTGCCTTGAAGGATGTCCTGGATCAGGGTGGGAGTTCCCTTGGGGCGGGGGGAACCTGGGCGAGGGGCCTGTGGTGGTTTGCAGTCTGGTCACGCCCCCTGGCGACCCAAGCAGAGCCCCTGGTATCTGGAATTTATTTACCTTCTACAATTGAAACTTTGTAGCCTAGAGTGAAGGCCTGAGCCAGCCAAGGCTGCAGAAGCATGGTTTCCTCCATCACCTGGGGCAACTCTAGCCTCCTGCTCTTCCAGCTCCTTGGCTGCCACCATTTCTGTTGGAATTTATTTACCTTTTATAATTGAAATTGAAATTTTGTACCCTTGAGTGGAGGCCTGGGCCCGCCAGGGTGTGTGGAAAGCTTGGCTTTCTCCATTGCAAGAGAAACCCAAGCCTCCATCCTGCTCTCTGTGGTCACAGCCATCTTGGTTGGGATTAATTTGCATACTCGCTCTGATTGGCTGGTGGGCATGGTGGAGTAATGGTTAATTTGTGTATTACTTTTTTATTACATAGGATTTTTCTTTATCTTTTTTTCACCGATGTCCTTTTTCTTTTTTTAAATAAGAGTAATATGCAAATTGACCATACTTTTTTTTTAATAAGTTTTTATTGTTCATGTTATTACAAATGTTCCTTCCCCCCCCCACCACCATTGCTCTCCTCCACCAGGTTCCCACCCCACCCTCCGCACCCTCCCCACTCCCCATTGTCCCCATCCATAGGTACACAGTCTATGTTCAGTCTCTTCCCACATCCCCTTCACCCTTTTCCCCAAGAATCGTCAGTTCACTCCCCTTCCACACCTCTGACTCTATTATATTCACCAGTTAATATTGTTCATCAGATTTTTTAAATTCCCTTGGTTTTTAGATTCACTTGTTGATAGCTACGTGTTTGTTGTTCATAATTTTTATCTTTATTTACTTTCTCTTCTGAAAGAACCCCCTTCAGCAATTCATATAATTCTGGTTTGGTGTTGATGAACTCCTTTAGCTTTTTTTTATTAGTGAAGCTCTTTATCTGACCTTTGATTCTGAGTGATGGCTTTGCTGGATAGATTATCTTTGGCTGTACATTCTTACTATTCATCACCTTGAATATTTCTTGCCATTCCCTTCTGGCCTGCATGGATTCTGTTGAGAAATCAGCTGACAATCGTATAGGTGCTCCTTTATAGGTAACTACCTGCTTTTCTCTTGCTGCTTTTAATATTCTCTCTTTGTCTTTTACTCTTGGAATTTTAATTATGATTTGTCTTTGTGTGATCCTTTGGATTCCTTTTGTTTGGAGTTCTGTGCGCTTCCTAGACTTGTAAGTCTAATTCTTTCACCAGGTGGGGGAAGTTTTCAGTCACTATTTCTTTCAGTATGTTTTCGATATCTTGCTCTCTCTCATCTTCTGGGACCCCCATAATTCTGATGTTGGTTCATTTGAAGTTGTCCCAGAGGTTTCTTACATTATCTTCAATTTTCTGGATTCTCTTGCCTTCTAGCTTCTGCGGAGGAGTGTCTTCTGGCTCTTTATGTTCCAACTCTTTGACTTGATTCTTGCGATCTTCCATTCTGTTTTTAGGACTCTGTATAATATTTTTTATTTCAGATACTGTATTCTTTATTTCTTGTTGATCCCTTATCATTTCTTTTTTTTTTTTTTTTTTTTTTAATATATATGTTTTATTGATATTTTTACAGAGGGGTGGAAGGGAGAGAGATAGAGAGCCAGAAACGTCAATGAAAGAGAAACATCGACCAGCTGCCTCTTGCACACCCCCTACCAGGGATGTGCCCGCAACCAATGTACATGCCCTTGACCGGAATTGAACCTGGGACCTTTCAGCCCGCAGACCAACGCTCTACCACTGAGCCAAACCGGTTTCGGCCCTTATCATTTCTTGTTGACTCCTTATTAATTCTAGTTGATCTCTTTTCATATCCTCATAGGTCTTATCCATCTTTTCTAGGAAATTCTTGAAAAACCTTATAAGCATAGATTTGAACTCTATATCCAGCCACTTTTTGTCCTCCATTTCTTTCTTTTGTGATCTTTTTCATTGTCCCAATTTGGAGCTACAGATGGGGCGGGGTTTCAGAGTGGAGCCTGCAGCTTTGTCTTCCGTCAGCCCCGCCCTATGCGGGTCTTTCAGTATTTGCTGCAAGCGCCTCTGAGAGAAAGGTGCCCTAGATTTTCGCCTGCTGCCAAACAGTCTATGCTCTCCCCCAATGAGCCCGGTATTGGGGTTCAGTTCAGTTGGAAGTGGAGTTGGAGGTGGCGTTCAGAACAGTATGGCGCCCCTGTCTCCTTCTCGCCAGGCAATCCCGCGGCACAGCTGGCCGTCCCTTCTCTGCACACACTGTGCGCGCCGCCAGGACCCCCTTTTGCTGCTTTCCCAGGTTCCGCCTCACAGCCCAGCTCCCTCTGTTTGAGCCTGGGTCCCCGGGGTCTGGCCCAGAACTGGGGTTCAGAGCAGTCAGAATGGGGCCTAGCACAGTCGGAGTTTTATCTCCTTCCCGCTAGGGAACGCCCGCCAGGCACTCGGCCTCCCTCCTCTCCGGCTCCGTCCTCTCTGCGCGCGCGCGCGCGCACTGCACGTCTCCGTACCTTGGGCTTTTCCAGCTCCTCTGCGCTTCCTTCTGGTTTTCTCCTTGCTTCTCGTTGTAGAATTTCCAGTCAGTTGACTTTCCTATAGTTCTGGGTAATGTCCATTTTATATTTTAGTTGTATTTTATTGAAATTGTTGTGTGCGGCTGCAGCTAGGTGTTTACCTGGGCGCAGCCATCTTGGATCTCCAAATTGACCATACTTCTGCTATACCAACAAGCCACACCCACCAGCCACACCCACCCACGATCAGAGCGAGTATGCAAATTAACCCCAACCAAGATGGCTGTGGCCACAGAGAGCAGGAGGGAGGCTTGGGTTTCCCAGGCAATGGAAGAAGCCAAGCTTTCCGCCTGCCCTAGCTGACCTAGGCCTGCACTCAAGGCTACAAAGTTTCAATTATAGAAGGTAAACAAATGCAAACAGAAGTGGCTGCTGCCACAGAGCGAGCAGGGGGCTTGGCTCTGCTCCAGGCTACAAAATTTCAATTGTAGAAGGTAAATAAATTCCAGAAACCAGGGCCTCTGCTTGGGTCGCCAGGGGGCATGGCCTGCCTGCAAACCACCACAGGCCCTTTGTCCCCAGTGGGGGGTATGCAGGAGGCAGCTGATTGATGTTTCTAACTCTCTCTCTCTCTCTCTTCCTCTCTAAAAAATCAATAAAATATCCTAAAGCTCCTATCTGATCATCTGCCTGAATCGCTTGGCCCCTCAACCCTGAGCTGGAATCAGCAGCCTGGGAAATAATAATCTGACTTGTGTTTATTCATCTTTCTTTAGTGGCTGCAGAGCTCACATGTGTTTCAGTGTTCAGTACTGGAAGCTGGGTGTTGTGTTTGTGACCAGAAGTATCTGCAGGAGCTTCACTCTTGCGTACGTCACCGAGCCCAGCAGGAGCCTGTTTCCTTCCGCTTTCTGCTTGAGGTCAGCTTCCCGGTGAGGACTCGCTTCACATCTGCTTCCTGACAACAAGGTTCTCCACAGAACCACGCACCAAGCTCAGGAAATTGCCATGCATGTGTGACCTCACCCAAGGCAGCAAGCAGCCTTCAACACGTGTCCCAGTGACGGCCGCTAGAGCCACTTCCTCTGCGACGCAGGCCCAGCCCAGACTGTGCTGCCTGGCTGCAGTCTCTTCTGACAGCCCTTGAACTGAAGCAGCAACTGGCACCCATCCTCGCCCTCTTCACAGCACGTAGGCCATTGTGCTGTAGCCTGTCCCTCAGTCCTGCCCACCCCGCCGCCAGCTCCCTGTGTGGCTGCTGCTGTCCCTCTGCGGTCACTGCCTCGTCGGCAGCAGTGTCTAACGCAGAGCTGTCACCAACCGCTCCCGGCTCCATCACCCCCGGTGCGGTTGGTTTTCTAATGCGAGAGGCTTCCTGCTCACTATCTACCTGCTATAAATGACATGAAATTCTCGGCAACCCCATGGCTCGCAGGATCTGTTTTACTGGAGTTACAATCCAGACTGTCGCAAATCATGCTGCCATTCGCTTGCCCCGTGGAGCTTGTCCCGTGGAGCAGTGGGCAGTCCCTGAGCTGACACCCAGAGCTCTATTCACACAGGCTGGAACCTGAGCCTCCTGGACTAGGACACCCTCCCTCCATCCTGGACAGGCTCAGACCGCTGTGCTCTCTGTGCGGCGCTCAGGCGCTTTCGAGGCCCCTGGTCCCCCTTCCCTCTCCTGCGGCTTGCCTTCCAGATGCCTGTGTTGCTACTGCCCTCCCATGGCAAATGGCTCTCTCTGTGCTCTTTCCTGTGCCCTCAGCCATTCCTGCTGCCCTTGAGAGCCATTCCTCCTCTGCTCCCCTCGCACACAGGCTGCTCCCTCCTGAACTGCCCCCACGAGCCCACGGCCTTGAAGCAGGCGCTCACACTCACACTCCTAGCCTCGCGCAGCTGTGCTGAGGACCCCACCCTTGCAGCTGCACCCGGAATCCTCACCTGCACACACTTTACGTTGATGCCGGGGCACACGAACTTCCTCCAGATCAGGTTGGCTCTGCTGTCCCCACAGGTGATGGGGTACACGATCTCGGCCTCCAGGTTCTCCCCCTCTTCAGTCATCTTCACTTCTCACGAGGTGTGAGGACAGGGAAAGGATAAGACAGAAAGTCAGTCACAACCTTTCCAAACGCACTTCCTGCCAGAACACGTAATTACTAGCCCAGAAACCAGAAATCAGGATCCAGGAGGGGCCGGGGACGCGGCAGGGTGAGCAGGGGCATCTTCTCAGTCCCAAGTTACCGTTTCAAGTTAACTCACACAATCAATTCAATGACATTAAGCAACAGTCAACTACATTAAACGATAGTTATCTACAATAACACTAGCATAAGCCCATTAAACTATGTTCAATTGAAGAACCACTTGAAGACATAAAATCAAACTCTACTTGGGATAATTCTAGAGAAACATATTCATCATGTACCGAGTTCTAAGGCCCTTAACGCTACATGTTATAAAGAATGTTCACTACCACTCATGATAATTCTAAGCAGAGCTTCCTCACAGGCACAGGTGCAGACATAGCCAGGCCACCCCCGGAAGGCCCTGCGGCCTGGCTTCGCCTGGGCCCAGGCTCGGCTCTGGCCCAGAAGCCTGTCCTCAGGAAAAACTGTCCCACCAGCTGCTGGCAGACACCTACCTAACACGGCTTCCTTGAGCTGTGAGGACGCTGTGAAGGCAGCCGCAGCGGCCGCAGCTGCGTTCTCAGTCTCCATGTTGTCCTCACTCAGGTCGCCTCTGGAAGAGGAAGAAGGGGAGACCTCAGCAAGCCCCAATGACAGTGTGCGTCTCTGCTGCTGCTCCGTGGCACTTCGGAGTTTAGTCCAGAAGCCCAGTGGCCATGCAGGTCAGGGCCCTTCACTGATGGTCACAAACTACAGCCCCCCAGCAGGTCTTCCTCCAAATGGGTTTTGCTCACAGCTGTGTCTCAGGTACCAGAAATGCTCCTGGCACATAAAACGAATTTGCGGAGACCACCAGCACTTTGTCAGGAATTCTATACCCCCATATCTTTAAAAAAAATTTTTTATTCCTGCCCTAACCGGTTTGGCTTAGTGGGTAGAGTGTCGGCCTGTGGACTGGAAGGTCCCAGGTTCGATCCTGGTCACGGGCATGTACCTTGATTGCGGGTACATCCCAGGTAGGGGGTGTGCAAGAGGCAGCTGATCGATGAGTCTCTCTCATCGATGTTTCTAACTTTTTAACCCTTTCTCTTCCTCTCTGTAAAAAAAAATAAATAAATAAAATATATTTTAAAAATAAAATTTGTATTCCTATTATAATGATTTCACATGGGTATAGAAACTATCCCAAAATATTAAATTTTAGAAAGAAAGGTCAGATCTGCAGAGACTCCATCCCTGTGCACACCGAGCAGGTGTCTATCCCAGGCCTGCACCTGGGTCATGGTGGCATCTGGGGTGCACAAGGATCCTAGGAAGGTGAGGGTGTTGTGAGCAAGAGGACCAGCATCAAAGCAGCAGCAGAGAAAGCCAGGCCCCAGGAGGGAGGCCGCCCAGGAAACGGGTGCTGAGCGCACAGGCTAAGGGACCTGGGCATATGCCGCCGGCCCTGGGGCAGCCCTGAGGGCAGCAGGGCAGCACCACTGGGGGTGCAGGAAGAGGGGCAGCAGATGCAAAGGCTCTCGGAGGGCAGGTTGGGGGACGGGGCAGGAAGGGTGAGAGGGAGAACTGCAGGCTGTGGGCACCATGGGCAGTGCTCAGGGAATCCCTACAAGGCCCAACCACCCCTGCCCCGGATTTCTGGGTTCACTGGCACTGAGGTTCTACCCACCTGCCCATCCCACCCCTCACCACACACCCCCAGGTCAAACTTGCACCAGGGCCTTTACCTGCCTTTATCCTCCTGACATGGAATCCCACCTCTCCCTCCCACAGGCCCGCACTGACTTCAGAGCTGCCCTGAGAGCAGGGGCTGTGGAGGCCCGGAAGGGCCGGGGATGCTGCCCTGCCATGCCCCCTCTCCATCTGCCCAAAGCTTTGCCTCACCTCCACCAGGTCAGAAAGAGCCAACCGGAGGTACACACTGGAATCTGTCTTGGGGGCCTATTGCAAGTGCCTTCTACATAAGGAAGAATGCTGGGTGAGGCCACACAGACGAGGGCCATGGACTCAGAGGGGCAGCTGTCCTTTCAGGCCAGAACTCTGGAAGGCAGGGATGTGGGCAGAACAGGAAAATAGGCTATTTCCACAGGAGCTCCAGGGCGGTCCCAGGAGGAAGTGTCAAGATTGGGACAGGAAGCAGCATTGCAAGAGGGCCCAGCATTTAAGGAGCAGAGCCAGATCCCTGCCACAGGCCACCTACAGAAAACACCAAGACTAAAGGGTATCTGGGAGGCAGACACAGGAGCAGAAGTCTCCTGTGCACGACCCCTCTGCCTTAGGCCTCCCACACAACGTGGGAACGAATCCCCCCTCGCCACTAAACATCCAATTTACTAAAGCAAATGTGAACCCAAGCTGCTGTCAGACCAAAAACGCGCCTTTCAGCCTGGAAGGTGTGACTCAGTAGTTGAACATCAACCTATGAACCAGGGGGTCATGGTTTGATTCCCATCAGGGCGCATGTCCAGGTTGCGGGTTCGATCCCCAGTGTGGGTGTGCAGGGGGCAGTCGATGGATGATTCTCACTCATCACTGATGTTTGTATCCCTCTCCCTTCCTCTATGAAATCAATAAAAATATATATTTTTTAACAACACTATTTTCTTCTCATGTCACCATGGCAAAGCAGTGGGTGAAGGCAGCCTGGGTTGGTAGTCACAAGGAAGGAACACTCCCAAGGTCTCCCCAAATATCCAGTCAGAAAAGGAATCTGTGCCCAGTCATTAGCTTGCTTCCACTCCCCAACTTAATCTTAAACGTGGAGCAAGAGTAAATATCAGCTTCCCACTTAGAACATAAAACATTTCAGAGAAAGAGAAGAAACAGCTCCAGGGCCCTTGGCTGCCTCCTACCTCAGTGCCCTCCGGGCCCTATGACTCGGGGTACACAGTCAGACCCCACGAGGTTCTGCAGCTCCTCACCTGCTGCTGGAACCTTCTTTCTCCATGAAGACACCAGGCAAGTGTCCCTGAGGATGAGAGCCTCCTTCGCCAGCGCCCCAGACACTGACGGGAGGGAGTGCATGCCAGACCACCCAGCAGGACCCGGTGCACAGGCCCCAGCCAGAGTGCCGGGCTGGCCAGCCCATCCCCCTAGCAAGTGGCAAACACAAGTTCAATGCACTCAGTTATGCAGAAATGTCAGTGACACAGAAACTACCTGGAAATGGTGCTGCCACCACATTCTGGGAAGAAGAGCAATGGGGCAGCCAGAGCAGGAGCAGCAGGCTACACAGGAGTTGTGCCAGGCAGTGGAGGAACCACTGGCAACAATGTAGCCACAGTCCCTGAAAAGAGTGAAACTCCAAAAGGACTTTGGTGGGAAAGGAACATGCACATAGCTCTGGGGAGTGCAGATGCTGATGCAAGAGGGAGCTGCCCACCCTGTGGTTGCAGAGATGACAGGGAACACCTGGTCACATGATTTTGTCTCCTACTTCCCACGTGGCAAAGATTTTCAAAGTAAGAAATGGCCTCAGGATAAAGATCAAATTAGGATGTGGCTGGACAATCCCAGGTGTTCAGGCCAGGCCTGGCCAGACAAAGGATTCCTATGAGTCCCCAGGGCATGGTTTCCAACCAGTGGGAGGACTGGGGGGGGGGGGGGGGGGGGGGGGAGAGAAGGGCCTCAAACACCCCTGGAACTAAGATGCAGATCCTAAACCAGCACAAAACCAAACCAGAAAAGCGAAGCACAGTGAATGGATCTCATCTGTGCACCTGCAGGCTCAGGCCCAGCTGGGACAGGAACTGAGGGAACCCAGGCAACCTGGACAAGGAGACCTTCTGTCCCAGCCCCGCTCCCAGATAGCAGGGTCTGCCGCTGGGGCAGGGAGGGGGCATGCTGTGGTGGACTGAACTGTGTCCCCAAATTCACATGTTGGAGCCTAACCCCAGTGACCGCATCTGCAGATTTGGTCTTTAGCAGGAAAATAAGGCCAAATGAGGTCAGAAGACAGGCCCCAATCTGAGAGGACTGTAGTGCTCAAACCAGAGGAAGAGACCGTCTCTACCAGTGAGGCCACACGAGCCAGACACCAACCCTGCAGACCTGGCTCCTGGACTTGTGGCTCCGGAACACTGAGCTTGCCGTTTCCCCAGGGGAGCCACCCGTCCACAGTATTCTGTTATGGCAGCCAAGCTCATTAGGACACGTCTTCTGGGCACACTGGCGAGGCTGACGAGAGAGCTCAGTGATCACCGCACATGCTGGGGCACAGCTGGGAAGCGCCAGTGTGGGGCAGGACATTCGCACATGGTGCGAAGACTGGGCTCAGTAGGACCAAAGCATCCCATGAGGTGCCCACGGTAAGGGCTCCTCCCAGCACCCAGCACACCAGGAGGAGGCAGCGTGGTCTTTCCAGCCCAAGGTCACTTCTGCCCACTGTGTTCATCAAGAGCCACCTCCAATCCATGGGAAGGGGCATGGCAGGTCACTGCAGAGCAAGTGTGAGGAGACACCAGGGAAGCCCACCCACAGCAGCACACCGTCAAGCTACCAGAGATTCAGGGGGGGAACCCACAGGCTCAGTCCATGCACCATCCGTGCAACTAGAACTCAGCAAAGAGCTGGCTGCCTCGCTGTGTGCACAGGGATGGAGAACGAGCCCAGCCCTGAGGAGCGTGAGGCAGGCGAGAGGGAGGCCAGCACCCCGCACAGCAGCTGCACAGACTGCAAAGCGGCGACAACCCAGTATCCCGTGTGCACTACAGGCACTGCGCCTAGACTGGGCCCTGGTCTAAAACCTTCCTCCAAACATCCTGTTAGACAGAGGCAAGGCCAAAGCTTGCCCTTGTGGTCAGTGACATGCTGAGGTCAGTCTGAACGGGGCACACTCAGGACACACAAAGATGACCCACAGGGAGCCCGCCTACTCCAGCCCCTCGTAGGCGACAGGTGGGGCTCGGCCAAAGGAAGCCAGCATTCAGCTCACATGCCAGCTTCTTTGCCAAGCAGTATTCTATGTGGACATCTATTGTAAGAGGTGGGGAAGAAAACGCTGTTACCCTGAGGAATATCAGGAAACTACTGGCTCTTCATTTTGAAACACAGTTCCCAATTGTCCATCTTATCAAGAGGAACTCCAGGTGTTTTCAGAAATAGGCCATATGACCATGGTGATGCAGGATCCAGGGCAAGGATGAAGCATTATCACTGTCCGGGCTAATGAGACGTCCCCATTTGTCCTGCACACCCTGAACTGACACGGACTCCAATCTGGATCAGAGCAACTATGACAAAGGGGCACTCCACTGTGCCAGATGCCACCATCCCACGCCCCCAGACACAGGCCTGTCCTTACCCGTGGGCAGCCAGGTTGGTTGTCACCAGCACTGTCTTGACCTCCTCCATGCCACTGCCATCCACCGCAGTGTCGGGTGTCGTCACCACCACCACCTCCTCCATGTGCACACTGACATCCGGGGTCGCCATGGCTCCGCTGAAGAGGACACCCAGGCTGAGACGTCACCTGCCAGGACCCCAAGTCCTAGAGGAAACAACAGGCAGGGCACAGGGTCACAGAAGGGCCACATGTCTGCGCAATACAGCTCATTATTGCTGACGTCCCAGCACACGCTTTCTGACACAAATGACAACAGGAAAAGGGCTGTCCCAGGCTGCCATCTGGGGAGGATGGCCTGGCACAACTGCCTGTCCTGACTGCTGTGAGGGCTGAGGTCCCTGAGCAGAGCGATTGAACAGGCAGGCACTTGGGCCTGATGACGCAGAGTCACAGCAGGTGTGAGAGAGGAGGCCCGATCCCAGCAGATTCCCAGCAGGTGAGTCTCTGGCTGTTACCTATCCTGCCACCATGTCCTGGCCACAGCCCAGAGCCTGCCTAAAAAGCAGTTGCAAACAGGTTCTAGGCTGGGGAAACGAAAGGAAACCTACACAACTACCTGCAAAAGAGCCTGGAAGTTTCCTATAAAATAGGCGTGCTCCTCCTCCCACAAGACCAGCAATCCCACCTACAGACACAAGGGCCAAAATAACTGTTAGTCAGGTAGGACTAACACAGATCCACACACCCAGCTTGTGACAACAGGACTCACACAGACATAGGGAGGGGACCAGCCTACCCACCCATCAACAGCTGTCCTCACCCAAATTTCAAAAACAGAGCATTAAGTGATGTGAACAACAAAAGTTACTGCACAGAGAACTGCTGGAGTTTAGACACCATCTTCCTCTTCCCAGCCCCTGGAGGAGCCAAAGCCCATGCCCAGTTCTTGGCACCAAGCTTGGGTTCCACTAGTGAAAACTGAGCACCAACTAATTTAGAGGTAAGATATAAAAAAGTATTTTTGAAATAGCATTCTTGGGGCCCTAACCGGTTTGGCTCAGCCTGCGAACTGAAAGGTCCCAGGTTCGATTCCGGTCAGGGGCATGTATCTTGGTTGTGGACATATCCCTGGTGTGGGGTGGCAGGAGGCAGCTGAATTGATGTTTCTCTCTCATCGATGTTTCTCACTTTCTATTCCTCTCCCTTCCTCTCTGTAAAAAATCAATAAAATATATATATATATATATATATATATATATATATATATTTTTTTTTTTTTTTTTAAAGAAGAAAAATAGCATTCTTGGGCATAAGTCCTATCTAATCTAATAAAAGAATAATATACAAATTAACCATCACTCTGCTACACCCACGAGCCATGCCCACTAGCCACGCCTGCCAGCCAACCAGGAGCGAGTATCCAAATTAACTTAACCAGGATGGCTGCAGCCATGGAGAGAGCAGGAGGTAGGTTTGGGTTTCCCTGGCGATGGAGAAAGCCAAGCTTTCCGCACACTCTGGCAGGCCCAGGCCTCTGCTTAAGGCTACAAAGTTTCAATTATAGAAGATAAATCCCAACAAAAATGGCACAGCCAAGGAGCTGGAGAGAGCAGGCTAAGGTCTCCCCCAGCGATGGAGGAAACCAAGCTTTCCACACACCCTGGCGGGCCCAGGCCTCCACTCAAGGGTACAAAATTTCAATTATAGAAGGTAAATAACACCAAACAGAAAGGACAGCAGCCACAGAGCAAGCAGGGGGCTTGGCTCCGCTCCAGGTATAAAGTTTCAATTGTAGAAGGTAAATAAATTCCAGATACCAGGGCCTCTGCTTGGGTTGCCAGGGGGCGTGACCAGCCTACAAACCACCACAGGCCCCTCGCCCAGGCTGCCCCACGCCCCAAGGGAACCCCCACCCTGATCCAGGACACCCTTCAGGGCAAACCAGCTGGCCCCCACCCATGCACCAGGCCTCTATCCCACCTAATAAAAGAGTAATATGCAGATTGACCATCACTCCAACACACAAAGTGGCTGCCTCCATGTGGTCAAAGATCCTGCCCCTATGTGGACACAAGATGGCCAGCACAAGATGGCCAGCAGGGGAGGGCAGTTGGGAAGGATCAGGTCTGCAAGAGAGGTGATCAACTGTGCAGGTGAGGGCAGTTAGGGGTGGCCAAGCTGATAGAGGAGGGAAGTTGGAGGCAAACAGGCTGGCAGGGGAGCAGTTAGACATCAATCAGGCTGGCATGGGAGTGGTTAGGGGGTGATCAGGCTGGCAGGCAGAAGTGGTTAGGAGCAATCAGGAAGGCAGGCAGGCAAGCAGTTGGGAGCCAGCAATCCTGGATTGTGAGAGGGATTGGGTTTAAATGGGCAGTTTAACATCCCTCAATGGGCAGTTTAACATCCCAAATTGGATAGGGTACAGGCTGGGCTGAGGGGCACCCCACCACCCCGTGCACTAATTTCGTGCACCGAGCCTCTAGTGTGTGTGTGTGTGTGTGTGTGTGTGTGTGTATGTATATATATATATATATATATATATATATATATATATATATATATAAAAGCCTAAGTGCCCGACAGAACAACTGGTTGACAGGTCGCTATGATGTGCACTGACCACTAGGGGCAGACGCTCAATGCAGGAACTGCCTCCTGGTGGTCAGTGCACTTCCATAGTGGGAGCACCACTCAGCTGACTGATGGGCACTAGATGCCGGGCTCACAGCTGGCAAGCACAACTGCAGTGGCGCTATTGGGGCTGAAGCAGCTGAAGCAGCGGCAGAGGGGGTAGGTGTAGCAGAGGCAGGTGAGTGGGAGTGGCACAGACCTGGCCTGGGCTCAGGCTCCTCCCTGGCCCTGTCGCTCGGCACACATCTCCCAAGGGGTCCTGGACTGCCAGAGAGCACAGGCAAGGCTAAGGGACCCCAGCAGTGCATGAATCCGTGTAAAAATGAGACAAAAATGCTAGTTCCTAAGATTAAGACCTGGTTTCCCGTGTATTCTACAAAATTACAAACGTTTGAGAAAGAGGGTCTACATGAAGGAATCTCACCTCAAACCCTAACTGGTCATGCCGCAGGCCTATAACTCCTTTAGTAAAATGTCTGCCTTGAGCCAGCCCTGTCCATTGTTTCTGTGCATCTAGGTTCTCACACCTTTGAACTGCGCCCTTGTAGATTCCTCCCTTTAAAGCTTGATCACATTATCTTGATTCTCCTGTAATCCAATCCAGGCCTGGCTTTCTCCCTTCCTTCCATTCCCTCCTTAATTCCAAATGCATAAAAGCTGCAGACTGTAGTTCTGAGAAGCATTTTTTTGTCAAGATCTTGCTTCCAGGCATTTCCTCTATTTGATTCTGAAAAATTATTATAAAAATCCTCTACAGGTCCGGCAGTTCATACGTGGGCACTTTCATGAAAACACCACTAGAGACATGGCAGAGGTCACACACCAGGAACAGCATGGTTTCTTCGATCCTTTAAGTGTTCCAAATTTTTTTTAAATCAATCTTTATTGTTCATATTATTACAAAGGTTCCTCATTTCTTCCCCCCTCCACCAGGTTCCCACCCCACCCTCCGCCCCCTCCCCATCCCCCATTGTCCTCATCCATAGGTGCACAGTTTATGTTCAGTCTCTTCTTCTCTCCCTTTCCCAGATAGTAAATCCCTTTTCAGATAGTAAATCAGTTACTTAGCATTTTCTCATATCAATAATACCTCCACATGCCCAATGATACACTTCACACGAAAGACATTTCCCAATAGGTCCACTAGCCTCATCCAGGCCCCACCCAAGGCACTCACAGATCAACACCCCAGCCCTATACTAACTCAACACATCCAGTGTTCCAAATTTTTAATTAGTTGCCAAATTTTTCAAAGTTTACAAAGTTCACATTTTAAAAATTTACTTTTCAGCTTCTCTTGGAAAATGTTGGAGTCCCTGGAGATGGTCCCTCTAGTTCTGCCTTTCCCAGAGAATCTGGGCTTCTAGTCCAGTCGGGTGGGCACAGATGAACCAGCTTTGGTCTCAACCACACACTGCCACACCCAGCCAGGATCCCACCCAGCCAAGCCCCCATTAAGCATTTGTAGCTATGAAAAAACATTTGAGCAGCCACCCTTCCCAGTTCAGACATGAAATGCTTATTATTTTAAAGACTAGGTTTGAATATCTATACATATAAAAAGTCAGCCACCATAACACCGAAACAACCAGAATGACCGGTCGCTATGACACCCACTGTGGCCAGCGAACCAGCCAGTCAGGGGATGGGGCTAGCCAGGCAACCTCCCACAGCCTCCCCCTGGCCAGCCTGCCCCTAATCAGACTCTCACACCCAGGCCAAGGGCCAGGCCAGCAGGCCAAACACCCTTGCACCCCCCCCTTGATAGCACCCCCACCCCCAATTGCCTGCAGCTTCCCCCAGGTGGCCCAACCCCAATCCACCCCATTGAGGCCAGGCCAGCCAGACTCCGCCAGGCATGAATTCCACCATGCGCTGGGCCTCTAGTAGTTTTATAAGTATTCGAAATTCATAGAAGCCATTGCATGTTTGTACAGATATGCAAATTCCTCCTCTACCCAGTGTGTCTCTACAGTTTTTAAGACACTTTCCATGAAGAAATAACTTCTGGACAGTCTGCTTAATTTATTGTGTTTGGGGTTTATTTAATCATTTGAATTTACCCTTAATAAGACTGACATCATCTTGTGCAGATGGGAATGTAATCTAGTACAACCACATGATCCAGCCATCCCACTTCTCAATATTCTTCTGAAGAAAATGAAATCAGACCTCCAAGATACCTGCGTCACTGAGTTACCTGCACCCACATTCACTGCAGATTTATTCACAGTAGCCCAACGTATGGAAGCAACCGAAATGTCATTCAGTGGTGAGGGGATAAAAATTGTATGGTCCAGCCATACAATGAAATATGTTAGCTTTAAAAAAGGAAATGTGGCCATCTGTGACAGCATGGATGACCTGGGGACATTGGTCTAAGTGAATTAAGCCAGACACAGAAGAACAAATACATGACTCTACTCACACAAGGATCTAAAACAGTCCAACTCACAGCAGCAGAGTGGAATGCTGGTGAGGACGTGGTATCAGTCTAGTTTCAGTTGTACTAGTACAT